AGAGACAAAGGCAAAGATTCAATTAAGTATGCACGAGACAAATAATACAATCAACAGGGTATTTATGAGTATAATTTTAGTAATGGCTTCCCATGAGCAGAATAAGGATAAGGTCCAGGGAATTTTAGAAACTGACAAGTCAAAAACAAACAGATGTCTGAATACAACTTACATTGCTAAGGAGACTGAGTCACTAGTAAAAATAATGTACCAGCCCAGAAAAGCCAAGGACCATGTGGCTTCATTGGAAATCTAAGGAATCATTTAAAGCAAAACTAACATATACACTTCTCAAGCTTTCCCAAACACCGTGATCAGAAAATGCTTCCTTTTGCTGTAACAAAACAACAACAAAGCATAACACTGTCCCTGAAGAATACTAACACAAAAATATTCAACAAAATACTTAAAACCTTGACCTTAACAGTGAATCAAAACTTAGGGTTAAGGATACGACTCAGTCATGGAGGATTGCCTACCATTCCCCAGTCTTTGGGAACTATCTCTAGCATAAGTACACATACACATGTGTGTGTTTGCATGTACATATGTGTGAAGTATTCAACTACAGAAATATGTATGCATACACACATATGTATCAGTGTTTATACACTTACCTGCCACACTCAGCATGGCTCTTGACACTCCAGAGGAAGGACACTGGGGGATGAGGAACACAGGAATCCATATACAGAAAGCTGGGTGAGGTAGATCCCTCTCTCCTGATGGGAGAAAAGGAACTGCCCAGTACCTATGGTTTACTGATACAATCAGCATAGGAATAAGTTCATGGAGAGTTTAAGAGGAGGGCAGGATCTGAGGCAGGAAGAAGAGCTGCTCAGCAGAACTCCATGTCTGGTGGCCTCACAGGAAACTAGAGAAAACTATTATGTCAACAAAGTCAAGTCATTAAGTGCCTCAGCTCCCTGAGCTGGGCACATTTCCATGGGGCCCCACCAGACTCATGAGCAACAGAGGCTTTGCTGGAGACACCAAGGCCCAGACAGCTTCCTTCCTGACATTCATCCTGTATAAACTATTCCTGCAATGCTACGAAGCTTGAATATATGAAAACTGCATGGGGTGACCTGTGGGTTTAAGTGACCCAGGGACAGTAAAGATGCAACAACAAGAGACACAGAATTAGGTTAAAGGTGGGGTCCAGGGTGCTGTCCTCTCCCTTTGACAAAAAGCCCTGTGTGACTGGCGCATCCTGACTTCACTCATGCAGACATGGTCACAGACGATAAGAGAAACCAGCATTCATCTGTCACCCACCTTCCATGGTGCATACCCGAGTGCACAGCTGGACTCAGTGCATCAGCCTTCCCTGAAGCCTGGCAGCATGGCTCACGCCACCCTCTCTAATGATCACCTAAGAGGCCTCTTGGCCTTCATCTTCCTGTCTGGCCTCCCACAAAAGAACTGATCAGTGCAGGACACCACACTAACAGGACCAAAGGAAAAAGCCATATGATCATCTCCACTGTTGCAGAAACAGCATGTAACATCGTTTCATACATATTCATGAGAATTAGCATATGTAAGCCCTGGGTTCGATCCCCACAACCAAAGGAAAGTAATTACCCCTCAACCAGTGTACCATGTCACCACCCAGCCTCCCCAGAGAGTACTTCTTCACATACTGACAGCTTAATAAAAGATCAAAGTTTAAAGCTGTCAGGACTGATTGTACTGAGTGGTATCACTTTTCTACAATAAAGTCCAAAGTTACGTCAAACCACTGTTGGAGCTATGAGTACAAAGCTCAGTAATGAAAAAACAGTGACGTGATTGTGAAACAGGATGTACACAGTAACAGACAAAGGTTAGGAAACACACCCTGGACAATGACAAGCCACAGGTCCACCCTTCAATCAATGACAGGCAAATATGGGGAGTACTTTAAGACTATAATTGATCTAAAAATTCTTATGCCCGGAAGGGTGACCTCATATTGTCCTGTTAGAATCCCCTAACACACTGAGGTCAAAACCAAGCTGTACTGGTTGATAGCCTAAGAGCAGTAGGCTCTCCATTGAGCCTCTGGGCAGAGCGGGTTATACCACCTGCATCTGTAGAAGCCCATGCTTTGGCATGAGAAGGAAATCGTGCTCTCTAAACATCCTCCTGACATTCCTCATTTGACCGAAAATGGCCCAGTGATTTTCAGTGCATGGGGACAGAACAGTCTTTCAAGAATCAGTGCTGGGAAACCCACGCATCTCTGGGGACAGGAATGAAGTGCAGCACTCAGCTGACAGCACACACAGAGATTGTCCTTAAACAGATCAGAGAGCGACATGAATGAGCACAAAGTAGAGAGAGGGCAAACTCTTCCCCGAGCTGGGTTTGGCAGTGATATTTTGCATAGATACCAGTGGCACAGGAAAGAAAGAGAAAGCATATGAGACTTCACAAAAATTACAGGTATTGTCCATGAAAAGTCACCATCAAGAGAGGGAAAGGCAGCCCATAGCTCGGAGAAAAACAACTATTAGTCACACGTGTGAAAACGTTAATAGCAGAAATACTATACAACAACCAAAATGACATCATTCAATTTAAAAATGAGCAAAGAGTCTGAATTGTCGTTTCTCCAAGGAAACTATACAGTAGGCCCCACGAGCACGGGAAAGGATGCTCAGTGTCACTCATTATTAGCACAGTGCAAATAAAAACACTCACACCCATCCTGATGGCCCCTGTGAGGGAACCACGGAAAACAAGGGTAGGCAGGCGTGCAGGCTGGGGCTCTCCACGAGACCCTCAAATGGTAACGCCACCGTGTGGGACAGAGCAGGGCCCTTCTCCTGAAACTAAGGAGAATTCTCTACTCAGAAGCTGCCCTTCTCTCTCAGCTCACACCCACAAGAATCACAGTGCATTCTGCGAGTGTCAGTGCACACCCAGGACCACTGTGGCAGCTTTCACTGTGATACAGGAATGGAGGCAAGACGACTGTGCATCCACAGAGGGCTGGAGGAAGAAAACTGGGACAGCAGTCACCCTCGGAGGTGGGAGCACCCCCAAGACCCCAGCTAGCTGGTTCCCATCTGGGCAGACACAACCGATTGTACATACACTACGGTGTCTCCCTCACATATGCACCAGGAAGAAGGTGGTGTATAACCAGGCCAGGAGGACAGTGCAACAGTGTGCCACACCGAGTGTGTGTGATGCGGGCTCTCACATCCGGTCTCTCCTGTGCTGCAGCACTTCTCCTGGCTGCCTGCTGTGCTGCTCAGCGCCCTGGTGAGAGGAAGGCACTGTGCCACGGCCTACGGCTGCTCCGCACTGTCCACCTTCAAACCAGCACCGTGACACGGAAACAGCTGCTCACACAGCCAAGAGACAGACAGGTCCGCGGCCAGCAGGGCAAGCACGTGCCTGACACAGGTATACAGGTTCTTAGTGAACATCATGGAGGAAGATTAATGTTATTAATAAGGCTCGTCAGTGAGGCTCACAATTGAAAATTCACAAATTGTTATTTTGAAATTTTCACATAAGATTTTCAGACGATGCACTGTCACTTTTAAATGATCCCAGGAAAAGGAAACGCAGGAATAAGAGAACTACATAGTCACGCAGTGGAAAATAACTAGGCTTAAAAAGGGTGGACATACTGCTATCTGCCGAAACAGGAAGGAAACCTGAAGACACTCCCTCAAGCGGAATAAGTCAGTCAAACAGACACACAGACAGGATTCCACTTTGATGACTCCCCTGCAGTTATCATTTTCACAGATACAGGGGTGGTGGTTGCCAAGGGGTGGGGAGGGGGGCACAGGCGCTGCTGTGTGAGGGGCTGAGGGCCTCAGCTTTCCGTGGTGAAGACAGCTGCCGGTGGTCAGTGAGCTCTTTGTCCATTATTAACACCTGTGACAGCACTGCAGATGCTGGAAAATGGGTAAGGTGAGGCTGGAAGTGGAGCTCACTGGCAGAGCATCTGCTGGCTGCACACAAAGCTTAGAGTTTGACCCTCAGCATGAGCAAAAAAGAAAAAGTAGTAGAGGAAGATGCTAAAGTTTGGTAGGTGTCATTCCAGAATGAAATGAAAACATAAGGATACTCCTATGACTGTGAGCATTTTGCGGTAGAGACTGTGGCAGGACTGTGCCTTAATCACCATAGGAGGTTCCTGCATTGTACCCTGCATGTGCCAAAGCAAGCGCTTGAATCCTGGTGGGCAGCAGGGAAGCTTTCCCTAAGGCTTTCACTGATTCCTCCTGAGGAGATCATCCTGGAGGAGCTTGGAGCAAAACCTCACAATTTATGCCAGCATCCTGGCCTAAGTGGGCCCTGGACTGCTTCAAGATGACCCAGAGTAAATGGAAACTCATCGCTGAGGTCAAGCCATGTCAGTGCACTGTGCCAATAGAGTGCAGCTTAAGAAAACCCCTGGACAGTGTGGCTGGACTGTGTCTGCCCTGGTATGGAGCGCCCATTGTGTCAGGTACACCTTGTGGCTGGGAGAACTGATCATCTGGGCGCTCTCCTCAGACACCACTGCTGAATCTTGTGTCCATCTGGGTGCTCTCCTCAGACCCCAACCCTGTGCCTTCCACTGCTGTGATTTGAATGTGTATTTTGTCACTGTAATAAACCATAACAACGAGTATAAGAACATTGCCATGTCCACTGTATTTTCTAGCTACTCACTGAACCTGAGGGGACACTGGGGATCTCCATCATCTAGTCCCCTCTCAGGGATTGTATTTATTCCTGAGAGAAATCCCTTAATGCTCACCACCTACCTGACACCCATGGAGCTCTGACTGCTGCCTAGGGTTTGCCCCCAACTCAGCAGCCCATCTTGGGTCTCCATGGTGACAAGGGGTGGGTTGTTACCCGCTGAGCATCAGCAGATATATTTCTCATGTGGTGACTGCAGTGATCAGGTCGGGATAAAGCAGGGAATCAGGGCTGGTTTTAGACATGTGGGTGAAAGTATCACACACGGATTTGAGTAAGGAGGGTTGGATACAGACACCAGGTGACAGTCACAGGCTGGTTTATTGTACATAAAGTAACTTATCTAGGGTACAGTGGGGCACGGTGCATCCTCTAGCGGGGCACAGCACAGAGCTGGTAGGGGGATGGAGGCACTACGAAGGCAGGTACACCACGCTCACTGGGCCGGGGCTGCCCTTCAGGCACCGAGAAGCTGAAGCGCTGCAGCAGGCAGGTGAAGAACAGGAAGAGCTCCATGCGGACCAGGGGCTCCCCGAGGCATGTGCGGGGACCTGTGGGCGAGATAGTGATCAATGAGACTGAATCCTAAGCCCCTTCCCACTGTGGAATCCAGGAAGGGGAGAGAAAAGATGGTCCCACTACAATCACCTGCGGAGAATGGCATGAAGGCCTCACGTTTCACAAAGCGGCCCTCAGCATCCAGGAAGTGTCCAGGGTGGAAGTGCAAGGGCTTCTCCCAGACAGTCTCATCCTTTAGCACTGATGACAGGTTGGTGAGGAGCATCGTCCCCTGGCAGGAGACACATGGCATGAATGTGGCCTGAGATACAGGACACAGGAACACTGACACTTAATATTCACAAGCACACTCTATGATGCACTCTAGGCTGGTGTGCGTACAGAGACACAAGGAGCCTCTCAATTACCCTTCAGTCTCAGAAGCTTCACAGGACCATCCATGATCACAAGGCAAGGACACAGGACAGTGATGCCAAGGGTGTCCACAGTCCCACACTTCCCCATGTGCACAGGATCCTCCAACAACTCCTTACTTGGGTTAATTCATTCTCTAATTACCCTGGGGGATCAGTGGGCACAGGGCAGCACTGGGCACAGCACCACACAAACAGGCTGAGCCTGGCAGCACCAGTGATATTGGGGGTACATGGCAGAACACTTCCTGACTACAACTGGCAGTAGCCACACTGCGGAATGAGGGTCTCAGTCCTACCTTGGGAATTAGGAAGCCCTGCACCTCAGTGTCATGAGACGTCATGTGGGGAACACCCATTGGGAAGATGTCTGCAAAGCGCTGCACTTCATGAATCACGGCGTTGGTGAAGGGCATGCGGGCCTGGTCTGCCATCTCTGGATGTCGCCCCTGCCCTATCACTTCATCGATTTCCTTTTGCACTTGACCTGGTCAGAGAAAGATACCCTGGTGGGGCAGTCCTTGGAGACTGGATTGTGACCCTCTCCAAGCCTGCATTAAGTGCTGTATCCAGCTGGGCTGAACATCACATTTCATGTGCATGACCAAGCCTCAGCTGGGAACCATGAGCTTCCCAGGTCAGCTGTCCTCACTTCTCTGCCCTGGAGTTCCCATCCATGCCCAGCCCAGCTCACGCTGCACATCCGGGTGCAGGATCATGAGGAGCAGAGCCCAGGACAACGTAACTGATGTGGTCCCAATTCCTGCACCAAACAGCTCTAATACAAGTAGACGAAGGTTCTGATCATTGAAGGTGCTCTCGGAGTTCCCCTGGGCCTGAGACAGGCAGAGAGGGTGGCCTCAGTGGAAAGTGGGAGGAATGGCACAAATGTCCCCATGCACCACCCCTCAGCACAGGTGCTGGGTTTCTGGAAGATGATGAGGCCCCACCTGGCCTCACACCTCCCAGAACACTTGGCTCACAGACCCTGATACCTTCTCACAGCCCACTCTCACCTTATGCACCTCATTCAGGAAAGCATCAGTCAGATCTCGGGGAGGCTGGTCTGGGTCCCAGCTTGTGTTGTGCTCAGCCAACAGCTCATCATTCAAGACCATGAAGGACCTCTGTGCAGGCAGGACTTTGGAAGCCACCCATGGGATGCGCAGGAGCAGGGGCATTGAGTTCACTACCTGTGACAGCACAAAGGGAGCCTGGGTGCTTCCTGTGCTCCAGACCCACAGGTGTCATCTCATACCCAGCCACCTCCATGGTGACCCAAGGACTGATGCTCCACACCTTTGCCCCGATGCCTCCACTGTGCCAGCAGCAAAGCTCTCTCCTGCTGCTGAGCTGCCACAGAACCTCCTACCATGGAAATGTCATGAGCTTGTGTCCCTTCCAGGGTGCACACAGGCTCTAATCCTCTCTGCAGCCCTGAGCCTCAGCAACCCTTCTATTACTGCTGTCTGATTCGCCACCACCAGCCCTTTCTCCCTGCAGTCATCCTCCCTGATTCTTTACTCCCATCCCAACTGCAGGCAAATTATCCTCTCAGAGCCCTTCTGCCAGACACTGTCCCCCCACAGTATCCCCTTAACCCTGTACCTGAAGCTGCAAACTGATCTCCTCCCTCAAGCTGCCCTCTACCAACTCTAACAGCCTGATCACTGTGGAGTCATCATACTCAAAGCGGCGTGCGAAGATGAGGGACGAGATCACGTTGCATACTGCTTTGTTCAGCAAGGCTTTGGGGCAAAAGGGCTGTCCTGGGAATAGAAATGCATGTTATGCTGTTGCCTTTTCTCTCTACCCTTTCTGTACACAGTCCCTTCCTTGTGTCCCTGAACCCATCCCTACCACTATGGTTGGCGAAAGCAGCACACAGGCAGGCAGCCTCCTCGGTCACCCACTGCTCCAGGGACTTCTTCCCCAGGCCGAAGTTGCGCAGTGTTGACACACAGAAGCGTCGCTGCTCACGCCAGGCGGGTCCATAGTAGGCTCCAACAACTCCTGGAATGTGGAGCTCCAGTCAGGACCAGAAAGTACTAACTTGTGCCCTTGCATCCTCCCCTCACTCCTGGCTGATGATCCGACACAAACTTTGCCTCCACCATTGTGCAACAGCTGCTTTTCTGACTTCATGCCCAGAGGACAAGAATGTCCATTGACCCTTGAACATATTACCATGCACATTAAGTCCTGTCCACTGTGGGTCACTGCCCCAGGTTCTACCCTAATGCTACCTGTGACCTATTGACCTTCACCTTGGGCTTTTGGTCCAAAGCCCAGTAGTGCGCTGCTGGGCACTGTGGGCCGGTCTGATGTGTCCTCGCTGTGGCTCACCAGAGCCTCCCGCACAGCCGCCAGCCCATTGACCACAACCACTGGAGTCCAGGCAAACTGCAGGCTGAACACATCCCCAAAACGATGTCGCAGCTGCAGATGGAGGGACAGGGTGTCTGTGAAGCTGGACTGCTGCCGTAATGTGTGTCCCGGGCTCGCTTTCAAGAAGTAGAGACCCAGTTAAAGCAGTGCAAACACCAGGTCTACTGCCTTCTCTTTTCTGTTCACTGTTTTCTTCTCCTTTTTCTTTGTGGCAGTGATGATCATGCTCATGGCCTCATTCTTGCTACACCAGCACTCTTGGCCAGCTACTGCCCAACAGCTAACATCTGCAGGCTCCTGCCACATTTCTTAATTTAAAACAACCACCTTACACCTGGACCTGACTGCCTGAGCACAGTGCAGAAACTGTCAGTGAAATGTGGACGCAGGGTCTTATCCTCTCCCATTCCTCAGATGAGGAAACTCAGGTTCATAGATGGAATAGAGAGGACCAGGACCCCATGCCAGACAAAGGATTTGATGCTAGAGATAGAACTTCTTTCAACATCAATTTCTTGATTCCAGTGCTCTTAAGATTCTCTTGCCCTGTTCCCCCAGCCCCAAGACTCTGATGTCACCAGAAAGGCCTTAGGTCCTACGAAAGTTATGTCCCATCAAATTGGATGCCAGTCCCAATACCCCATCCTGCCTAACTTCCTGTCCTTTGTCCTCCCAAACCTATCCCTATGGAAATTCCAGTGTTCTATGCCCTGATGGAGTCCTCCACGAGACAGAGCCTCTAGTTCCCTTCATGAAGAAAACCATGTCCTTGTCCAGAATGTGGCTTCATATACCACCATTTCTTCAGGGGGTCACCTGACCTTGGCTGCTCCCCACCACCAGCTCCCCCACCTTGTAGAAAGAGTACGTCACATCCTCGAAATCCACCTGCAGCAGGTTACCAAGCCCAGGCACTGGAACAGGGCCTGGTGGGTAACGAGCAGCCCAGCGTTGGCGCCTGTGCATTAGGTCCACAAGGAACAAGAAAATGACCACGGCCATGGCCACAGAGAACAGTGCATCCCCGATCTGCAGACCCATGGCTGCCCAGCAACAACCAGGTTACTCTGTACAAAAAACGAGCTTTCACCACTCTGGGAAGCTGGAGGCAGAGAGCATATCTACCTCTCCCTGCATATTGGAACAGGCTGGCTGTCCTCTTATAAAGCAGCTAAGGCTGCCCTTTGCCCTGTGTTGCATGACAACCTCTCTGTTCATTGTGCAACCAGAGGGTGCAGGGAAGGATCAGAACAGAAGCATTCCAGAAGTCGTTGCCCCTTCTGCCACTTCCTGTTGATACACAGGGCAGGGGAGGGTCCTGGGAAGAGCTCCATGGCACTAGACACACTGGGTATGTGGGTTTCAGCATTAACCCATCATGCATCACTGCTCCGAGAAGCATAGTGAAAAGCAGATTTCAGGGAGCTGAAAGACGAAACCAGCAGGACTTGGTGGTGTGTGATGGCTTGTCACATTGCGGTAAGACTATTTTTGCAGATTCCGTGGATAACACTGCTGCTCAACAGGGATTAAGTGGTGTCCAAGGATTCTCAAAACCGCCTCCAGCACGTTCAGTTGCTTTGTGGCCTCTCTGAGCACGCCACAGACAGACAAGTCAGTGTGTGCCTATTTACCCAGCGAAGCACACAAGGGCACTCACACACAGGGAAGCTCAACCGCACCACCCTCAAGGACAGAAACTAAGACCTGTTCTCGTACTACCCATGAAGCCCTGAGCCGTGCTCATGTCAGGCCTCCTCTGTGAGCAACATAGGGTTCTTCCCTTAGGAGATGATACCGTGTGTGCACCACAGCCTCAGCAGTTCAGGTCACTTTGCCCTCTGATTTAAGTGACACCTTGCTTGGAAAAATGTAAGTTCTTTTTTTCTTTTGGGACACACTCTCACTATGTAGTTCAGGCTGGCTCCAGCTCACTTTGTAGCCCAGGCTGGTCTCAAAATTGCTAAGATTCTCTTGCCTTAGCCTTCTGAGGGCTGGGATTACAGGTGTGTGTCACCACACCCAGCTGGATATAAAATTTTTTGTTGTTGTTGGTACCAGGGATGGAACTCATGACCTTGCGCTTGCCAGGCAGGCGATTATGCCAATGAGCTAAATCTGCAGCCCTGAGATGCAGAATTCTTAACTCCTTATTTCAGCTCACATTTTATTTGACCTTCCATAGAGAAGCCTGTGCTCTTCTTGCAAGCCTCTTCTTTGAAAGCCTCATCTGCGGATTCCTCTGGGTAGCCCAGTCAACTTAAAAATAATTTAACCAACAACAATGCAAAACCCAAGACGGTCTAGTGACTATGTGTCACAGTAGATACACAGTAGGTCCTCTGGCTACAGAAGGAGAGGCGAGTGGATGGAGCAAAGAGACTTTTAGGGCACAACAGGAGGTTGGGTGAAGAGCAGAGATCTGCTCCAGGACGGGAACAACAGTTATTCATAGTCACTGTGAATAAGAGATTGTGCTCAGGCGTCCTGTCTCTGGGTCTCACATGCAGCTCCTGGACTCCTCAGATGGTGTTTTGCTGCAGTTTCTCCTCACATCCAAGCAGCACGTGAAGCATGCACTGCACTAGGGCATGAGAACTACAGTGCCCCTCACTCTCCTAGGCAGCGGTTCCTCAGCCCACCATCCCTATTTAAATTTCCTGCATCCCAGTGAGCAGCGTGATTGACTCAGGACATAACAGGCTTTTTTCTTTCCCCTACACTTTGACCAGGTGGTCACTAGCAGTAATGACATGGTTCATAAGCACTCATGAGCCCACGACCTCATCTAATGGAGAAGAGTGGAGGGGAGAAGTCTTGTCTCAGCCTCATGGCCAGCACCAGTCACTGCCCACCCAGCCCCTCTGGACTGCAGCACTGACTTTTCCCAAATATTTGTGGATCCATGTGTTTTGGCACTGGACCTCTCGTGCTATACTAATGACAAATCCGCTACCCACAGCCCCTCAGCCAGAGCACAGCCAAAGGGTCCACTGGCTTCCTCTGTTTTTAACCAAAAGCCAAAGTGGAAAAAACTCTGTTGCTGCATCACAGTGAAAAGCACAGAGTACAGGGTCAGGAGCCCAACTTTCCATCCTCCTCCCCTTTCACCCTTGCTCTTTCAGGGCAGCTGGGTGCACAGCCTGCTCTGCATGCTATGGTAGCACTGGGCAAGTCAAACAGACACTACCCACCTCCTAATGGAGGGACAGTTGTGTCTGGTACGACCACTCTGGTTCATAGGAAAGAATCTGCTCAGTAGTACAGAGCACAAAGGTCCACACTGTAAGGAAACCTCCTTTCCAGAGAGCAGATCTCTGCTCTTCACCATGCTCACATCTTCCTGATGCCCTCTGAGTTAGAATTCTGCTCATATCCCACCCAGATACCCATGCCCTCTATCGTACATTTCCTGATGCCCTACTCTTTCTCCTTGAAGGAAAAGCTCACACAGAGGAATCAGATCTGAATTTGTAAGAATTAACATATGCTGAACACGTTGTGTGCCAAGCACACTGCACTGTTACAGAACTCCCACAACATCTCCTTGTGGTGACAATGCACAGTGCTGGATCCCCAGGGACAGACCAACCTGGGGCTCACAGATCTCACAGAGCAGGAACCTGAAAAGGGGAAAAGGTAGCAAGGAATGTTTCTGGAAAAATGACCCAGTATTCCTACAACACATCAAAATGCTTCAGTGAGGAGAATCTGAATGCTGTGGTGCCTCTTTAATCCCTGTTGCAAGCCTCTCCCCTAGTTCACTTTTGCCAAAGACTAGGGAGTGGCTTCAGCACTCACATATGATTAGGCCCTTATGGGCCTGGGGGTTGCTCTTCACCAATCACACAAGTTATGGGGAATAAAGGTCTGGAGTTCTGGTTGAGGACTCTGGCAGAGGAGAAGGTCTGAGCAGACTGGGACCCAGAATGTCCTTGGCAGACCAAGTGAGTCGCCTGCCAGGCACTGCCCTGCTCTGGCCCTGCACCTAGGGCCTATGTCCTTCCAGGTACACCATGTAAGCTCTGCCCCCATCTAGGTCTCAGCCCTGCCTTTATAAGAGGCCAGGAGACATTAAAAATTGGATTGATGTCATCAGCCTGGTCTCAGGAATGATTTATTTTTGCTGTGATCCTGTGCCACTTCCCATGGGCCAAGGTCCATGAAGTGACAACAAGTGATGACACCATGGAAAGACAACTCCCCTTTCACCTAGCTTAAGGGGACAGAGACGCCTCCAGCTTGGCCTCTCAATTCCAAGTCCTGGACCATCATCCCCAGAGCACTCTCTGATAACTCACAGAGCAGGGACCAATCAGCTGTGGTGCCACCTAGACCTGTTTCTCCCTCCTGGAGGAGACAGAGCTCAGCCACGGGCCCCTGGCTCACTCTCCCTCAGCTCTGCAACACTGTATTGCACTGCAGCCTCCCCAACCTTTTTTAAACTGCAGATCTAGAATGTTCCTAAAAACTCTCACAGGTAAGTTTTTGGAAGGGGCATGGATCATGGGGTGCTGAGTAGTAGAGTAACACACAGATGCCTCCACAGAGAAAAGTGCTGTGAGCAGGTGAGGCCTTGGGAAGAGCAGAAAACCCGCATTGTGACCTAGCACAGTACATCTATCCCCATCTGGCCCCTCTCCTCTGTCTCTGCTTCCCTGCTGCCATGATGCAAACAGCTTTTCTCTGCAACCCTTCCACCAGGCCTTTCCTGCACGGCAGACTGCAGGCTGTGCACTCAATTCTTTAAAAGCTGTGAAGTAAAGAATCCTGTTGTTATGGTTTATACGTCAGCACTCCAAACTCTGACCAAGTTTCATGCACTCATGGACCCGGCCAAACCTAGCATTTATGACTTGCTCATTGTCTGGTGCTTGGGTGGTGGTAGAAGTGCTATGTTCACCCAGGGTGGAGCCAGCATACAGTGTAATGGCCGGAAGAATGCATGCCTTCTCTTTCTTGCTGGTTCCCCCTAGCTGTTTATGGCAGCCCCACTATGCCATCTTGCTGCTTGGAGCCAGCTGAGTATGTACTGAAACCTCCAACCTGTGAAAAATAAACCTTCCCTTCCCTTATTTTGGGCATCTCAATGAGAGAGAAAAGTAACCAAGACATATGTCCTGCTTTCATTTGTGATTATATAGTAATGTGTCCAGGGAAGGAAAAGAAACTGAGACAGCCTCTGAAGAAGATCACAGCCAGAGAATAGTGAGCTGGCAGGGGTAGGGAAAGAAGCCTACTGTTCTGGAAACAGGCACATTTCTATTGGGGACCACAAGTTATAAATTGAGACCACAGCCTGTTTGAGACAGAGCTGGTCCTGTTTTGTTCTCCAGTCAGTGTGAAAACTCAAGCACAATTTGTCCCTGCTGCTTTTACAGCACATATTTTGAATCCAAGAACAGAAAGTAAATACACTCCGGCTCAACCGCACTGACACCCATAAGACCTTTCCCAGAGGAGAACTTTCCCAGAGGCTGAGGGATTTAGCACATCCATTCCTAGGATTTGATTATGGCAAATCTGGGCCTACCTTGCTCTGCCCTATATTGTGGGGTTAAATAGATGGTCATGGGACTTCCAGGAGAACATGGTGGATAGATAACAGTAGCTATGGAGGCTTTCTGAGATAGCCAGCTTAGGTTCAAGGAATGGTACAGCATGGGGAGTCCTAAGCAGGAGGAGATATACCCTGCTGACCCAGGAACGAACTAACCTGAGAGAAACCAACTGGAAATGCAATCCCTGTGCTATGACTGGGACAGCTAACATCTCAGTGCCAAAGCTGGAACCTGTGCTTCTGGATACCGCAGCTTGAATTTCCTGCCGCCGCTGCTGCATCTGAATTGGCACAGCACGGATAGAGACATGAAAGCTCTGAGAGTGGGAATCGGTGAACTGAATTGAAAACAGAGCTGGTGAGGAGTCCTGCATTAACCTGCGGTGAGTGAGAGGAATGGGGACCCTTCCAGAGACTAGGAGGCTCCAACAGAGGAGACATTCTGGGACTGGGCAGACTAGCTGGAACAGGCTGCTGCAGTGACTTCAGTAACATACTCCCCTCTCAAGTGGGATTGGTGGGGAGCACTTGACCTGGGTGATGCTGAGGACTAAGACCCAATAGGC